GTCGTATAAACGAGACTAGGTGAACGTGCTTTCCTACATTCTTGTTATGTTGAATGGTTAGCCACTCTTGGTGTAACGGTGATACTACTGATGGGGAGGCATGCGAGTAGTATGTTTTCTTCTTGTAAATTTGCTCTGCGTCTCTTAAAAAGTGAGGTCTATTGCGGAGTTTGTGGAGTTGCTGTGTAGGATTTGCTTGGATTTGAGCAAAGGTCAATGAATATCCGAGAAAGTTCAGGAAGACGCGTTCAAACATAAGATGGATATTCAGTTTTGTAAATAAGATGCATTTGAGAGTTTTGCTCCCCTGTCCAATAGTCTTTGACTGTTCAGTTAGCATTTCCTGATAAACAACCCCGCAGCGAAGGCCTTTTTCGTATTGGTAGCGGATTCCTAAATCGATCACGAAAGGAATATAAAGGGGAAAGACTAAAACCCGTTCGCAGTTAACATTACCCAATAACCAGTGGAAACATCATCAGGTTGGTGTAGAAAGGCTTTTTGTGTAAAAGCATGAAATGGTTGCTGAGGTATAAACCAGATTTATGGCCACCAGACGCATGTAACGATGAACAGTATTTTCTAGGCTTTGCTTTGCCAGGGTTCATCCCAGCACGAAAGTTGTGAGGTTCTTGTTTACAATCCATCCGACGTCTGTTCATTAATGTGCAAAGTGATCTTCACTCACTGACATGTGTTCATTGTAAAGTTCACTCCTCTATCGAGGCGAGTAACATGTAAATGAATACACATTCACTAGTACGACCTGGTCCTCAAAAACAAAATAGTTCGAGGACTACTGCAATGTGAAGAAACCCGTGTGGAGCTATCGAGGAAATTTACTAACCTTGTAAGCGGTGTGTGGTCATTGATTACAGATCGCACTTAGTCCCGCGAATTCAGTTGTCCTAAACCCTAATTCCGTTTCCACAGAGTCACAGACAACAGTTGGTTACGTCAAAACCAGATGGGTCTGCGAAAACGACATTCCTGATCGAGCTGAAAGATCACACGGATAATTTGCTGGCCTGCAAATGGCGTGAGCAGTATTGCAAAATGAACTAGAGGAAATTCGTTTTTGAGACATGCGCAAGCCCAGAATTCTTGTGGGCTGTAATATCCTTGGACCATCTATGATGGAAACGTTTGAAAAGCGTTGTAAGAATTTTCCAGCTCATATAAAAGCACAATTTTGGATGCCACCATACATAGGCGAAGTGAGGATGAGCTGTTTGACTGGTTCAGATTATTTTTGGACCATGTATAAGAAGCGATACATTTGATGCCGACCGACCAGCTACCAAATGGAGTTATCAGGAATCTAGTTTTCTTGCACCATGATAGAACCGTCACTCTAAATGAGAAAACTTTTTCTGACGAAATCTCGACTAAATCTTCTTATCACACTCATATGGGGCGCAACTTTAAACGCTAAACGTATGCAAAAGAACCCCATCCAACTTGAGGGATAAAACAACGTGTTCTTCAAAACGTTCCTTCAATTTGTCTTAAGGGTTGCAAACCTGCCTTCAATTGCTCGGCCGGATTGCGCTAAAAATGTTAGATTGTCCCTGGTACCTTAAATGCAAGTAAACAGTATTCTCTCTACATTTTATTTATGGTAAGATTTCTGGGTGATGTTTTCTAGGCGTAAGTGTACCTGACCACATTTCATTTGATAAGTGAGTCTGTTAGTAAAAACCAGGTTAGCGTCACGTGAACGAGAACATGTGCCGACGGAGCGTCAGTTAAAGCTAGGTTTAGGATCTGGGGCAACACAGTAGCGTGGCCTTGAAATAGAACAAATCAATTCATGTGGCAGTATTTCCTTCACATATACAAAAGTCCTTCAATTTTAAGGGTTGCAAACCTGCCTTCAGTTGCTCGGCCGGATTGCGCTAAAAATGTTAGATTGTCCCTGGTACCTTAAATGTAAGTAAACAGTATTCTCTCTACATTTTATTTATGGTAAGATTTCTGGGTGATGTTTTCTAGGCGTAAGTGTACCTGGCCACATTTCATTTGATAAGTGAGTCTGTTAGTAAAAACCAGGTTAGCGTCACGTGAACGAGAACATGTGCCGACGGAGCGTCAGTTAAAGCTAGGTTTAGGATCTGGGGCAACACAGTAGCGTGGCCTTGAAATAGAACAAATCAATTCATGTGGCAGTATTTCCTTCACATATACAAAAGGTGATTTTGTATCGGAAAATGATCAACCTAACGTAAAAGGAATTTCCAGCTTCAGACAACACAAAGTGTCGCAAGTCCTTTTCTTTAAAAAAAATCGAGTGTAAGCATAAATTTGTTCTAAATAAACGTCAACCGACCTGAGGAATAGCTTTGGTCATTAAAGAACTAAGAACTCTTTTTAAAACACGGAAAAATATTTGATGTCATTTTACCGCACCGATTTTGAGATAAAACATGAACGATGGAGCCTCCCATACATTTCAAAACTGGCTGGGCACTTTCGGCACAGCTGGGTATTCACAACTCCGTGTCAGCCTACCGACAACAAGATCAAGTGTTCCGCTTGACCGAATATGAACTGAAAACCGTTGGTTTTATACTCCCTCCAAGAAGCATAATTCCGTCCCATTTAGTTAACAACTGCTGCAACGTGATAATTTCGCGAACTTCATCGCTACTGTTTTTTGAGTCAACTAACAAATAAAGCTTTCAATTATTCAACAATTTGGCAAAAGAATTGAAGTGATCGTAACCCACAAAATAATAACGAGAACAGGGTTTTGCACGACTCTCTTGATATTATTCCATTCTCAGGTAAACCTCATCAAAACCACAAACAAAGAGACGCTGTGCTGGAAACGCCATAAATATGTGCGCTCATTTATCCCCTTATTGTGTAGTAATAAAATATAAAAGCCGTATGAAATAACCAGACTGTTTGTTGTTTGTCTCAGAACCGAGAAAGGATGCAACATTTCCGCCTCACCTCGAATGAGAACTCCTACTTCCACAATCGTGTTCTGGGAAGAAAGTTCATAATTCAAATCTGTGCACTCGAACCTGAGCAGTCAGCCTGTAGGAACTCGGGACGTTGTTAGTTGGGCTCATTAATATCGTCTTTTATAAGCAGTGAATTACTTTGGGTATTTGTAGTGAAGAAAACAAGTTGCTTGGATAGCCAGAAAGTGATGTTAACAATATATTCCAACTTATTGGCAGTTCAAAAAACTATGGGCATCAATAGATGAATCATTTAATACAAAAGATTTATTGATACTGATTGTACCGAAAAATGAAATATATTGAATCATAAATCACGCATGGACGTCCACAGACATTTGGAATAAAATCCCGCATGAGACATCTGCTTGACAACTTCAGGACAAAAAGGTGTGAAAAGTATACCCTCTTATAGTACAAATTGAAGCCTGTCAATTACTATGAACAGACTATCATATGAAGTAAGTGTAACGTTCTTTTACATCTTTCTGATGAGGTAAATAGGAGTTAGATGAGCCGCATTACCTTACCGAAGGAACCAAGTGTTTATATCTCCTGTGGATTAGAAGTTTCCTAACCAGCCAAAAGCGTCATACATGTGTCGAATAACATAGGTTTATTGTGACTACTCAAAAGGGGTCATGTATATTCTGTCTTCTAAAACTGGTTGTCATCCTTTCTTCATTAATTGCCTCCTAAACTCCTTTAGACTGCATAGCTTAGTGCACGATTGTTTCACTATGGGATTTCACTCAGTCAAAGTTTCATTAAGTTCATGAGTATCTTGTGACACATGAAATACCTGATAGGGTCAGTACACAATATAAACGCAAGCTACACCATTAATAAAGACTGAACCAATCAGTAGAAAGTGTGAGGGAGACTGACTGATACCAAAAACACTTCATTACGACATTTTCATAAAGAATGATTCTGCTTCTTCACTGCCAATGGTCAATTTTTACATCATTTTGTCACCATCCAGTCACCCAATGTATAATCAAATGTGTGGTTCAAATTTTTATAAGTTGATGTGATATTTTGAAGTTTCGGGTGGAGTGGCGAAAACTTCTTTTGAATGAATAAATGAGTAACCTGTTTAATACGTGATTGGCGCACAAAATTAAGCTTGTGCAATAGAAACTGAGTGAAGTTAAAGTCTGTAACCTTCACCTTGGCGAAAAATTCTTTTGAATGAATGAATAAGTAACCTTTTTAATACGTGCTTTGCGCACAAACTTACGCCAGTGCAATAGAAAATGAGTGAAGTTAAAGTCTGTAACCTTCACCTAATTTGTCACGTGGATAATTACTCTCAAAGATTCATCCCCGAATGCAGATATTGATAAACCCGTTTTCACTCGAAAGGTGGGAACATATCACATAGGTGTGATTGAGAAGTAAGACGAAATACACGAAGTACATCTATTTCTGGTCAGTTACCGAAAGCTCAGTAGTAGTATTCTCATTTCCAGGTCACTGGATCTTGGCTTCACTACATTTTTGTGAAGTTAGGAGAGATGATATGCATTTCCCAGCACTTTGTCAAAGTTTCAACTTTTTTGGTAGCTAAAAGCGAATTATTGACAAACGTGCCAGTGTACCGACAGGAAAATGCAACACTGACAAATTCATATAAAATCACTTAACTGGGTCACTAGGCGGTAAACGGAATTCTTTGTTCATTTCACGCGAAGGCGGTTGACAGGTTACCCAACTGTGCATCTTTTTTCAAATTGGCAGTTTTTTCCGACATTCAACAGAAAATTAAAGCTACCCGGCAATACACATGGCCACTATGTGCACTGTAGATGAAGTCACATGTTAGGACATTAGTGATGCTAATGTTATGCGAATCTATTTGCCATTAGGTTTCCGGATGCAAAAGTGCTGCGTTCACCGTCTGGAATTTCCACAATAATTAGGTTTATATTTCGTGGAATCCAATAGTCAGAGTTTACTTTAAGTAGCAGAAAAGAGGAACGAAAATATGAACTACAAGTATACTCATTTCATATTTCATGACAGGAATATCTGGAAATAAGCTGATGAATGCTGGTTACTGATACCTAGCGACTACAAAACAACTATCACTTTCCCAACCCTGCTCACTACACTTTCAATCCCATGTTGTCCACAGTAACTGAATATTTTTCGTATTTGCATGGTCCTCATTTGGCCGAGTGAACAGTTTGTCGTATTGCCGTTTCGACACACTAGAATAAAAGGCAAACTTTTTAGCACCAGCTTCATCATTTGAAGCCCAGAATATTGAAGCATGGCAGGACAATTAGTGCGACTATAATACGCTTAAGTTTGACGTCCCTGTTTCCGATAACAGAAAACTGAACATCACCCTGCCGATATTTTGCCATTAGCTTGGCTAGCCTACGGTATGTATGAATTATGCATTCATGTATGTATGTATGCATGTGTAAATATACGTATGTAAGCAGGTATGTATGTATGTATGTATGTATGTATGTATGTATGTATGTATGTATGTATGTATGTATGTATGTATGTATGTATGTATGTATGTATGTATGTATGTATGTATGTATGTATGTATGTATGTATGTATGTATGTATGTATGTATGTATGTATGTATGTATGTATGTATGTATGTATGTATGTATGTATGTATGTATGTATGTATGTATGTATGTATGTATGTATGTATGTATGTATGTATGTATGTATGTATGTATGTATGTATGTATGTATGTATGTATGTATGTATGTATGTATGTATGTATGTATGTATGTATGTATGTATGTATGTATGTATGTATGTATGTATGTATGTATGTATGTATGTATGTATGTATGTATGTATGTATGTATGTATGTATGTATGTATGTATGTATGTATGTATGTATGTATGTATGTATGTATGTATGTATGTATGTATGTATGTATGTATGTATGTATGTATGTATGTATGTATGTATGTATGTATGTATGTATGTATGTATGTATGTATGTATGTATGTATGTATGTATGTATGTATGTATGTATGTATGTATGTATGTATGTATGTATGTATGTATGTATGTATGTATGTATGTATGTATGTATGTATGTATGTATGTATGTATGTATGTATGTATGTATGTATGTATGTATGTATGTATGTATGTATGTATGTATGTATGTATGTATGTATGTATGTATGTATGTATGTATGTATGTATGTATGTATGTATGTATGTATGTATGTATGTATGTATGTATGTATGTATGTATGTATGTATGTATGTATGTATGTATGTATGTATGTATGTATGTATGTATGTATGTATGTATGTATGTATGTATGTATGTATGTATGTATGTATGTATGTATGTATGTATGTATGTATGTATGTATGTATGTATGTATGTATGTATGTATGTATGTATGTATGTATGTATACCTCTATGTATATACGTATGCATCGCGTATATTGAATAGTGAAAAGGTTGAAAATGGAAAGTTACCTAAATCCGTTTACATCCGCCTTTCCACCTGCCCATTTTGGAGTGTGCTCACATGTAAACCCTAGCAGTAGGGCAGTATTACTAGTACTAATGCCAACAAGATAGAGCGCCAAAGTAAAAATTCGGTAGTAGGTGTTAAAATATGTCATCTATCACCAAATGAAACCACATGACCACAGGACGGAGTTCGTCAGGGACTTACCGTATGTAAGACTTGATTTTTCACCATCATTTCATTTCAATGGGTGAGGAAATAAAGAACCATAGCTGGACAGCTACTGTATCACATTTGTCTGAGGCTGATCGCCTTATATAAAATAGAACGCATTTCAGTCAGTCCACGAGACAGTTCTACTTGAACTGAAACTTGAGAAGCCACTGATTGCGATGGCCTTTGGAATATGGTTACGGAAACCATCTCTCTATCTCCAGAAGAAGCTAATATGGCATTTGAACATGTGCTCATTTATAACCAGTTCAACTACAACATAAAAATCTGATAGCGACGCAATCAGTTTTATTAGGAGATTCTGTTTTCCCCATTTATCTATTTTCTGTTTCAAAAGTGCTTCAATGCACTGCACTGGTTACGTTAACATTGTTGTCTGGGATTTTGCGATTTTGTTAACTATTGTAGCATCAAATTCGTCCAACACTTGAGACCGTTTATCTTGAAATACGGCCATGCATGTACCCTAGATCTTCAGACCTAAAGAACGATTTGCCCTAACATGCTAATTAAGTCTCCGAAAAAAAAACGGTTTTTCCGTTTGAATTAACAGCATCTGTATGTGGAACGTCACTAGGAATTGGAGAGACAGTAACGTAATTTCGTCAATCAAGGTCGAAAGCTAGCTGAAAGCAGATCGTGTTAGTCACGTGAGTATCTTGCTCCCAGGTATCAGGAGCTTGCATTCTGTGGTAATTAATAAGTCAACAGGTAAGTACGTCGGAGGCGAGCTTCTACAAGATAAGCAAAGCGATCAGCATGGGACTTGGGTACGAAAATTCGTCGTTTTCTTCAGAATGCATAATGAACGTGTGCGATTCAGCCTACTGGTGCTTGAGCCTGGTGCCGTCTAACGTGTTCTGTGAATTATGAAAGGTTTGTCATGCGCCGGCATTTGCCAATGCAGATTGCAGAAAAAAGCTCACGAACAGATCAGCCCCCAAGTTCACAAGGAACTATTTAGAGTAGAAAACTAAGATAATGGATCGAAAACTGCTGAACTTTGATTTCTGCCTTATTCCCAGAATACAAACGGACCTCTCGCACACAGAGAGGAACTGCAAGTGTTTAAAAATTTAGAACACAAATTGAGTCCTATACATGTAGGCTGCACAATGGTCTAGTAACATGCGTTCTGGTCAAATGACAATAAATGTCTTCTAGGGCGTATAGCATACTCATCAACCAGTAGTTTGGATCCAAGTTGATTTTGGGTATCCCGTCTACAACCCAAACACAGTTTTCCATCTAAAGTCACATCATAGCACGTCAAATAATCCTGGTACAAAGTAAAATTCAACTACCAGTGAAAGGAAGAAGGTCTTCGCTGCGGACTTATTTATTAGGAAATGCCACTTGACCAGTTACAGACTATTGGACAGGGAAGCAAAACTCTCATTTGCATCTTATTTAAAAAAGTGGGCATTCATGTTCTCCTGAGCGCGTCTTCTTGAACTTTCCTGAATATTCATTGACCCCAATCATTCATTGTTCAAATCCAAGCAAATGCTACAAATTGACTCCACAAATTACCTCCCTTTTCAAGAGACGCAAAGCGAATTTACAAGAAGAAAACATACTACTCGCATACCTCCTCATCAGTAGCATCATCGTTACACCAGTAGTGTCGCTCATGATAGCAACAGTACTAAGCAAGCGCTGAATTGAGGAGAACCTAGCAAACTCCAGCAATGAATTGTGTTTACAGAGGTGGAACCATCCAATGAGATGATGGAATAAACCCTAGCGGTACCCAAATAAGGGACAAATTTCAAGGAGAAAGGCTTCATTCAGGACAAACAGAGTCCATCGATTCAGCCCAACAGCGGAATTAATCAATGTGTAGCACTGATAGCAGGATCAACTCATAGTTTTTAATTATTCATTCTTGCTTATTACACAAAATGGGTAGCTATAATTTGACTCACTTAACATTTGCCCGTTACATTGTTACCATGGAAAAGTGCACTTTAGTGTCACGTAGCATCCTGGTTTGGAAGCACTGTTAACTCAGCCATGCAAAATCATGAGAGTTACAATTTAAAGGTGCGAATCCATATGGTATGACTTCCGTAAAAATTTCATACAAGGTCACAGTTCGCTTCAAGTCCTCGCACAAACTTGCGAACTACCCATGTTCATCTTTGTAATGTACTAATCATAAAGTTGCTGAAAATCCGTCGACAGCCCACGACCGGTTTCGCCCCTTTTGAGGCTCATCAGGTAGGCGCAGCCCCGGGTCACCGTCAACCTTACGTTTTTCTTGAAACCAGATTACCTGGTGAGCCCCAAAAAGGGCGAAACCGGTCGTGGGCTGTCGACGGATTTTCAGCAACTTTATGATTAGTACATTACAAAGATGAACATGGGTAGTTCGCAAGTTTGTGCGAGGACTTGAAGCGAACTGTGACCTTGTATGAAATTTTTACGGAAGTCATACCATATGGATTCGCACCTTTAAATTGTAACTCTCATGATTTTGCATGGCTGAGTTAACAGTGCTTCCAAACCAGGATGCTCCATGTTCATATTTATCGCTAATAAATCAGTTCACTTTTAATTGATTTCCAATTAATTATGGAGATCATGCTTGAAAAACGGCTTGTCATACGATTGCCACCAGCTGTGTCTCTTCGCGACATCGAACTGAGAAGACTGACTGGTAACCAGTAGTCGCGCTCCTAACTAGGGCAACAGTTGGAGAAATGGACCAGTTTACAAATTTCCTGAGAGAACATACTACTCTCAAGGTTGATGAAAACCCTGATGACCCGCGACCGGTTTTGTCCGTCTTGTTGATTACCAGGTAGGCGTAGTCCCCGAGGTTTTCTTAGCATTATATTCCGCTAGAACACGAAGATACGAATAACTTGGTCAAGTACACACAAGTTTTCCTATGAATATATCGCCCTTCGTCCCAACCCATGTGAACAATTCTCGGAACGCATCCATGCGTACGCTTCAGCCTGTCTTACGGAGCAGATTACAAAGTTATTTGCTGTTATTCATCCAATTTGGAGTTCCACACTAAGGAAGCTGTTTCTGAATAGGATTTCGACACCTCTGATTACTTGAGAGCGTCTGCAATCGGTAAATGCATAGGGTGCAAATACTGCAGTTACTGACTCTATGTGCACAAGCGTTCATCTTCCCACGCATCATGTGACCTTTCTAGTTGAGATATGATCAGGCCGCCAGTCCACTTAAACGGTATGCACCTCGATAGTGCATAGCAATTTTCAGTACATTTAGCACTCAGCACGGTGCAGCACGTACTACGGGCATATGAACAGAGTAATACCAGAAGGCTTATTAGAACTAATATTAGTTAGTA